CTTAAATTACGGTGATCAATTGTTTCACTGGCATCTAACCTATATAAAAACCAACGTGTGTCACGTCATGCTTGAAACAGAAAGATTCATAAAAGCCAAAATTCATTTATCCAAATAGAACAGTTCGGTTACTGTCTGCCCATTATGATTTTAATGATGGGGGAGGGGGGGGGGGCGTGAGGGATGTGTGTGTATGTGAGTGCAGTGAAACCTTATAAATGGAGCAAGTGTTGGTATAATAAGCCTAAAATAAAGACGTAGTGTGGGACCACCTAGCCCACAGCCAAGTGCATAAAATTTATCATGAAAGTAAAAATATCGATTTATTTTAAACTTAAATCGTTTCTGAATTAAGCTATTTTCTGTTATATCACCAACTTTTTTAATAAAGAAAACTCTTTAATCAACGGAAATTAAACTAATAAATCAACAAATATTTTTCCAGTTTTGTTGCCTATACATTTTATTTTATACTTTCACTAGTTTCAGTACATAGACTAGCAACAATATAAGGTTGTACTTTTGTTGTTAAGCTACATGAAATAAAAGCCATTGTTGTAACGTAGTGTTACCAATACGCCCTGGCTTTTCTGTATATTAGAAGTTGTTAATCTTACTGATTTTTATCAATAATTATTCTATGAATACGCCACGAATTTATTTCGTGAATTATCTTAATTTTGATTGGCTCACAAATGAATTTACTAACGTTTGACTGCCTCGCCTGCACTTTTCTTCCTCTTGTTGGTCAAATGTGATTTCGCAAAATTTATTTATTTCAGTTACCTATGAAATATGAGGTTAAGGTATACTCTGAGGTGTCGAGAGCCAGCCCAGGCCCCGGGACAGCTGCCCCCCTCTTGTCAACCCTGGGTATACTATGGGGTGGGAGTGATAGTACTTGCCCCGTCATTTTTGACGAGCTATACACTGATTATTAATAATATAATTCATTAGCATTATTTAAGTTATTAAGAAATCACGCAGGTTCAAACAAGAAATAAAGCACAAAATAAGAAACTGGTACCTTTCGGAAGGCCTAACTTTGAAAAGCTCTCGGTTTATCATACCTTTTCGTATAAGTAACACAGATTTTCAACTGAGTTTTGAGGCTATGTAATAGACTTGTCTTTAAATAATAATAATTAGAATACTTCCCGCTTTTTTTATCTCAAACATGAAACATTTACAATGTAGGATAAGCCTAATGAGACAGTCCGAGAGAGAGAGTGTAAAACACGCTCGGAATAAAAGAAACTTCGACATTACGCTCCCCAGTGGCTGGAAGGTAAGTCTCTACACTTATGACACTAAAAATCGGGTTGTGATGGACATAGTACGAATAGCCCATTGTGTAGCTTTGTGCTTAACAACATACAACTTCAACATTACCTAACCTGATCGGCATTGTTAGAAACATGTATATTTTAAGGCCAAGATTTGAAAACACTTCACAGATGCTGTTTGAAATGTCTCTGCGTGTTTGCCGGATAGACAGGTTTGTCCGGCGATGCACAAGGTAATGTCACCAGGAAATGTAAACGTGATAACCCTGCACATCGAGTTGTTTGATCACAATCATGAAACATTTTTTTCCCCGTACTGCGTCGTTCAGTCATTTCTTCTTATTCCGAGAAGTAAATTCTAAGAACTTGTGAATCAAAGTTGATGGTAATATGTTACAGACTAAGCAAGTTTTATAACC